GAGAGATTCTTTTCTGGTCATGGCTATTTGGAGTTCTGTATACCTCTTATACTTGAAAATTGAATTCTTTCCTTAGATTTGGAAAGTTTTCTGCTGTAATTTCAGTGGATCAGGCTAGGGATTTCACTCCGTGGTGCCACTGCCTGCCTCACAAGCACAAGGTCCCAAGTTCAATCCCTGGAACCAAATAGTAATAATAATAATAATAATAATAATAATAATAATAATAATAATAATAAACAAAACAACAACAATAATTTCAGTGGATCAGTTTTTTATACCTTCTCATTTTTCTCCTTTATTCTATAATTCTGCGGTTGTTTTTTTTGAGTCATCTAGCTGATACAGGATCAAGCTTGCATGGTGTCTTGTTGTAGGTTATCGTTGACTTTATGAATCTGTCTCCCTGTGATGTGTTCTTGAGTTTGATTATGGTTTGGTGTTCAGTTTACTCAGAATAATAGTTGAGGGCTTTTTTAGTGTCCAACCTGCTGCTGGGGCTTGATGCCCAGCACCACTCAGATGGTAGAAGATGAACTGTAATAATGCTGATGAGACGAAGACAAACTAGATATTGACATACAGTAAAAGGCAATTAAAGCATCAACTATGCCACCATTGACAGTCACAAAGATATTATCAGTAATAATAGACTCAAAGACAAACTGATATTGACATACCATAAAAACTAATAAAGGCTACAGCTGTACCACCCTTAACAACAGAGAAGATACCTGCAATAATAATACAGACAAGAAGACACTGCTATCACCACCTAGATTTATAGTATGGGCTTATGAGATACCCTCCTAATTCCAGAAACTCTTCTGTCCATATACCCCAGTATGTGGCAACCATCCAAACTAAGGCATGTATCCCTGATCACATTGGCAGATGAGAAGCAAATAGGCCACTGAACTTTGTGCTGCAAGTAGGCAAGTTGGGTGTAAGTGGACCACTGGATTTAATGTCAGCTCTTTCAGACACAGCCCCTCAGGAAACCACATGTGGCTGACCTGGTTTGTCACCACAGAGGGCAGAACCATATTCTTTGTTCTTCCCAGCCTGAGCTCACTGCTATTCAGACTTCTCGGGGCATCTGTGAGTAGCCTGCTCCTTCTCCACAATTGTCTTGTGGCAGCCAGTCATCATAGTAGTGTGATTTCAGAAACCCTAAAGTATAGTTGTTCTGTGACTTCTGATTCCCAATAGCTCAGTCCTAAATAAGTGGCCCCTTACTAAAATGGCTTTTCCCATGATAAATGTAATCATTATGCACTATAAAAATATACTAATAAAAATTAAAACAAAATGACTCCTGATTATATGATTATATATGGAGGCATTGCAAATATGGCAGGCATTGCAATAGATTTCTTCAACTCTAGCCCACCACATGGAAGGACTCACTTTCAGAGTAAAACCCCACACTACTGTATTTGCAGATTACAGTAACCATGGGCTTTTCATGGAACTAGTGCTGTTCACCTGTTGTTTCTCCCTGGAGCTGCCTACTCTCTCCAGACTTACTTCGTGTTTGCAGAGACAGGTCCCCTTTCTTGGGAAATGGGATTACCTTTTCAGACTGCTTCATTCTTTTCTCTGCATTGTCTTTGGTTTCTCTAGTTTCTCTGTGACTTCAGAGAAATTTAAAGAGTGTATTGGCTCTTACTTAATTCTCCGAGTAATTATTTTTCTATTTGCCAGATTGATGTTTTCCAGGTGTCTCAATTCCACATGTATATCACATATGTGATATATGCCTCCAGCTTTTACTTTGCCATCTTTTTCTTTTCCTACATCATTTATATTTCTGTTTTTAGGTTTATTACTCTTTGCTTTGAGTTTCTGATCTCCCATATTTCTCATTCAATATATATTTCATCGCTAGAAGTTCGTTTGGGAGGGTTGTTTTGTTTTGTTTTGTTGTACTGGAGGTTGAACACAGACCCTTTGCACTGAGCTATATCCCTACCCCTTTTTTGTTCTTTATTTTGAAGTAGGTTCTCACTAAGTTGCTAAGTTGCCCAGGCTGGATTTAAACTTGCAAACCTCCTTCTTCAGCCTCCCAGAATGCTGGAATTACAGGGGTGTACCACCACACTCAGCAATTTGGGGTGTTTTTTTAAAATATATTTTTCATTTCTCTACTTGTCAAACTAATGGTTTTTGCTTTTTACTTTTTTGGACATGAGAAATATAATAATCTTTGTCTATTTAACATCTTTGTCTATTTTGTTTTTTTTGTTTTATTTTCAGACAGGGTCTCACTGTAGTTCAGGCTGGCATTCAACTCACTATGTAGCCCAGGCGGGCCTCAAACTGAGTGGCCTCCTGAATGCTGGAATTGCAAGTATATACCACACTTGGCTGTCTACTACTATATAAACATATATATATATATATTTTTTTTTTTTGACTGGGGGTATCAGGGAACTTCTAATCGCACTTGTGAGGCAGGTGGTGGCACTGCTGAGTTAAATCCCTGGTCCTGTCTACTAATTTTAAAGCCATGTTTTTTCTGAGTCCAATTGTGTGTGTGCTATTGTGCATGCATGCATGTATATTTGTGTGTTGTGCTGGGGGATTGAACTCAGAGTTTCAGGCATGCTGGGCAAGCACTCTACCACTGAGTTCATTTCTCAGAATAATTTTTTCTCTGATTAATTTTTCTGTTTTTTGTTTTTTTGTTTTTTTTAGTACTGGGGATCAAACTGGAGTCCTTGCTCTTACAAGGCAGGCACAGTGATACTGAGCTAAATCCCCAGCCCTGATTAACTTCTTTCTTGTTTATGGGTCATACTTTCCTGCTTCTTTGCGTGTCTTATAGTATTTTACTAGATACCAGTCGTGGATTTTATGTTGTTAGGTATAAGATTTTAAAATATATTCCTTAGAGTTGCTTAGAAGAGTATCTTGGATGCAGTTAACTCTGAATCTCTTTGATCTTTTCAAGTAGTGCCTGTTTTTGAAAGCTGGTTTTTAAATTTCATGAGGGCGGCCTTTCATGTACAAGAATGTGGTGCCTTATTGATGCAATACTCTTTGTGATTATGACCTGTATACAGTAATAGGGAATCTCATTGCTCTGCCTGATGGGGATATAAACTCTTCCTGGCTCTATGTGACTTTTGGAGATTGTTATACCTATGCTTTTATGGTGGTTTCTTTTCTAGTCTACATGATTTTCTCTTCTATTTGTGCAGATTAATACTTAATCAAATACTTGGATGATCTCTGCAGATTTCTAGAGCGCTGTATTTCTGTTTAGCTACCTCTTCTCTGATGTTCTGCTTCACAAATTTAAGTTGCTTCTTGTCTCCTCAAGTCACCAAGGTGGCAATCTGTTTCAGTGCCCCTCACTGCATTCATGCTGTCCAACCAGGGACCTGGGGAATACAAAGGACTCATTGTGACTTTCTTCTTTCAGGTATTGCTATTCTGTACTGCTTGTTGTTTACTGTTTGAAAACCAGGCATTTCCATGTATTTTATCCAATTTTTAATTATTTAAGGCTAGAGGGTCAATTCTATTCCTGTTATCTCATCACTGTTGGAAGCAGAAATTCATTCTCTTAAATTTGTCCTGTTGGTTCTTTGCTATCATTTCAGTTCTTCAGTGTTTCTAAGAATTTTTTAAAAATACTTTATTCAGCATGTTTAGTTAAAAAATTTTAGTAGAAAGTTTAGTTCAACTAGTCTAGGCCAGTGGTGGCAAACCTATGGCACCCATAATATTTATTTTTCTTTTAAGACAAAAACTGTTAATGTATGAGTTGCTTTTTGTAAACTAAAACCTCAGTATTCAGGCTAACTGTAGTGTTGGCAGTTTGTGATAAATAAGTGGGTTTTATGTTGCAGTTCAGGTACTTGAGTCTACAAGATTTGCTATCATGCTCACTTCAGCAGCACATATACTAAAAAATTCTTTACTGGTCTAAGATACTGCTATGGTTTGACTATGCCACATCTCCCAATTCATGCAGGAATTTAATCCGCAACATCTTGTATATTAACGGTATTAAGAGAATGGAAACTTACTCTGATTATGGTGTTTAGAAGTGAGGCCTTTAGGAGATTTTTTTTTTTTTTTTTTTTTTTTTTTTTTTTTTTTTTTTTTTTTTTTTGGTACCGGGGATTGAACTCGGGTCCTTGTGCTTGCAAGGCAGGCCACCAAACCGCTGAGCTAAATCCCCGGCCTTAGGAGATTATTAAAAGTAAAATCACTAGGCTAGAAGCCTGCATGGTTGAAATGCTCCCTGGTGGCATTTAAAGCAGAGAGAGAGACATAGACACAGATAGATCTGTGTGTTCCTTGTCTCTTGTCGCCCCAGGACTCTGTGAACAAGGTCATCACCATATGAGATCCTTAGACCTTGTATCACCCAAATTATGAGTATTACAAGTTCAAGGACAGCCTGGGAAATTTGGTGAGACTGCCTCAAAAATAAAAGGGTTGGAGTTGTGGCTCAGTGGTAAAGCCTAGCTTGTGGGTTCACTCCTCCCTACTGCCCACAAAAAGTCAACTACCTTGGGTATTTTTTAGAGTAATAAAAATGAACTAATAAACTAACATTATTAGAAATGGAAATCCTTATTGCCTTTTCAGTTAAAAATATAATAAAGATCTATGGCATCTTCATAAAAGTGGAACAGTTTGGTGAAAGATGGATAATGCTGTGTTTCTTCCGAATAGTTAAAAGGATAATAAGATGGTGGGCCAGGAATGTAGCTCAGTGGCACTACACCTGCTGTGCAAGTGCCAGATCCTGAGTTTGATCCTTAGGACCTGGGAGAGAAAAAAAGGATAAGATGGAAAAATTGTACATGTTTTAGGTAGGCCTGGGTAGAATTCCTGGACTTGGCTTATTTTTTTGTAGTATGCATAATAGATGGTATATTACTGACAGACCTGAAATTAGAAACCTCATATAGAAAATAATATAATACATTTAAGTCAGACTGAAACAGTTATGATGGGTTGTTTTAATTTTCACCTAGATATTCTACATTTCCTCATTTTTCTACACCATCAGTTATATTTGGTATCTGTACACAGAGCTGAGGATGAAATACAACCAGAGTGGACAGAACACATCTCCACTGGTAAGTTTTATTCAGAGATAATAGCTAAGAATAACATATTAAAATAAACCCATATATCCCTGACAGACAGTGTAAGCATGCTGCATAAGCTAGGTGAATCTGTGGAGGTTAATCAAAGAATAACCATGTTCCCACAAAATTTCCATTCTCTTATCACTTCCTCCCCTCTCCCCTATGTTCTGTTATTGGAAACATCTGCAGTGCTAGCCTTCCTGCTGGGTTTGATTTGTAAGGGAAATCTTTGACTCCAAGCCAATCCATCCTTGTTACTAGAATAAAGAAAGAAGTACCAGAGAACAGTCAGGGAAGTGTGCTTTGTCAGCTAACATGGGATCTGGGATTGCAGGTATTAGAAAGGAGGAGTGTTTTTTTTACTATGCTGTTCTACTCTGTTGGTTTGCAGAAGGGCCTGGAGACTCAATGTGTGGTAGTCAGAAAACAAAATGGATCTAGAGAGCAGTTGTCTTCCCTTTTTTAATTCACGAGTGGAATTTGAGGCACTGTCCAGCATTACAGTAATAAAAGAGGAGAATTCTAAGTCATTAATCTGGATTGTTTTTTGTGTATATTATATATCACATAATTTATCTATTTCAAGTATACAATTCAATGCTTTTTTGGTAAATTTACCACATTGTATAATCATCATATAAACCAATTTCAGAATATTTACCCCAATAAAATCTTTTATATCCTTTACTGTTAATTCCCTTACCATCTTGTACTAGGGAACCACTAATCTACTTTCTTTCTTTTTTCTTTTCTTTTTTTTTTTTTTTTTTTTTTTTTTTTTTTTTTTTTTGGTAACAGGGATCAAACCTGGGACCTTGCATTTGCAAAGCAGACCGAGGAACCACTGAGCTAAATCCCTGGCCCAACCACTAATGTACTTTCTGTCTCTATAGATCTTCCTTTTTCTGGATATTTCATATAAACACTATAATACTTTGTATTGGTCTCCTGTGTCTAGTTTCTTTGACTTCAGATAATGACTTTGAATTTCATCCATCGAAGTATGTGTAAATAATTCATTCCTATCTTATTTCCAAATAGTATTTCATTGCCTAGTAAATTGAGTTTCTTATTTCTGATTCTTTCAGTATGTGATCAGTATGTGATCCTGGTAGATAACATTTTTAGTGATACTATCAATTTTCATTGCCCTAAATGTATTTATATGTGTTAATCTTATACATGTCTTACTATATATTCTAATCTTATTTCTGCAGTACTTATTCTGTTATGACTTTTTAAAGGAGAATTTTCTTTAAGGATATAATAGAGTAAAACAATCTGGAAAGCCTCCCAACACATTTTCCTAGAGATCACTTCTCGAACAAAGAAAAAGTGGCAACTTGTTAAGCACATGATGAAGCATAGTAAATATTTGTTGAATGATTAAATTATAGAAACTCATGGCTGTATATCTCCATATATATTTGTCTACTTATAGGATCCTAGAAAGGACATTTGAAGATTAATTTTTTTTTTTTTTTTTTTTTTTTTTTTTTTTTTTGTACTGGGGATTGAACTCAGGCCCCTGTGCTTGCGAGTCAGGTGGCAAAACCAGAGCCAAATCCCCAGCCCAGGAGAGCTGTCATTTATTTATTTTTGAGACAGGGTCTCACTATGTAGCTGAGACTGATCTGGAACTGGGTGGTCTC